GAAACAGTTTGCTTCATGGTTAAAAGTAGGTCTCTGGAGCCAGGTTGCCTGGATTTGACTCCCGTACGTGCTACTTTCTAGCTCTGTATCTTGGGCATACAATATAACCTCTCGCTTATTGCAGTGTCTGCTAAAATGGGGGTGATTACAATGTCTGTATCATAAGGTTGTTCTGAGATTCAAATGAGTTAATACACAAGAAACACTTATCGAAGTTCATGGGACCTAGTCATTGTGATTTTTTTCTGATTGCTCCAACACATTTACTTGTATTTATGCGTTATAAAGTCTAGTGTGTTAAGCTGATGGAATTAGGGAGGTCTCCCTATGGCAAAAGCTGAGAGCTGAGCCCTAATATCTATTCTCTTCTTCCACAGTAACAGTTTCCCCTACCCATCCAGTTCTAAGCTGGGCTGGCACAGGGTTGTCCAGAGTTAAGAATAAATTTCTTTTCCATCTAGAAGTGGAACTACATTCTGCCCAGTGGAAGCAGATATAGTGTGTCAACTTCTGAAAAGTGGCTTTAAAGCGTATCTTGCTTAGGAGCAACAATGATAATTTTTCTTAGTCTCTATTATTTCCTTGAAATTGAAAAACTTGTTTTCTGGGGTGTCGGAGATCTCAAGACTCATTTAAGGATTTTGCCGAGGCTTCCTCACAATGCTGGTAAAAGGGAGAGGTGATCTTTAAACTCTCAAAAGAAACAAAGGTTCTAGGGAAAACATAAGCCATTTAGCCCACCTGAGGTACAAAGCAGGACTACTTTATTTCTGTTGTCTTGATGGTTCAGCAAAATCAAGACAGGATTCTTGAACTTGTGAGTTGGTCTGTTTCCATCTGGAACATTCTCAACCTCTGTCGCTTTCTTTCTACCCTGTCCTTCGGGGCTCCAGTTAAACATACACTAGACCTCATTCCATCCGTCATATCTCTTAATCTCTATTCCCTATTTTCCATTTTTTATTTCTTGTATCTTGGTGCTACATTCTGTATGATTTCTTCTGATCTACAATTTACTCACTAATTCTTCTGAAATGATTATCGAAGTTTTAATTTTGGTTATATTACTACTACTACTATTACCATTACTACTGGATGTTCTATTTGATTATTTTACCTATCTGTTAGGTTGCTTTTTAAAAAATAATCTCTAGAAGATTCTCCCAAGCTTTTATTTGTTTCTTTACACATAGTAAGCATACTTGTTGCTTTGTAGTCTTCTGTGTGGGACTCTCACAGCTATCAGTGATTTTCATTGGTTCTTGTTCATGGTAGCTTGTTTCCTTGGGTTCGACATTTTCTGAGATTTTATGCTGCTCGTTGCCCTTGAAAATGATTCATAGGGACTTTTTGAAGCCTAGGATGAAACTGCCTTCCTTTAGAAATTATTTGCATCGGATTCTGCCAGACCCATAGAAACTTATCTGAACCTCCTTAAACCAACTTTAAGATTTAACACAAGATTTCATGTCATCTTCTCACTTCCCTTCCTCCCTTTTTAGGCTTAAACATCTTTTAATGAGACCATTTCTTATCATGACTCATGGAAAGAACAGTCCTCAGAACATAAAATTTGACTGATGAATTTTGGCCGAATGAATGAATCTTTAAGTTATCATACCTACCCTGTTAACTTATTTTCTCTGTCTTTATTTTTAGTTGTTCAGTTAGAAAGATTACTCTGTACTGAATAGCATTTCCAATGAGGTGCCCTTTCTTCAAGGCATTACTATGTCTTCTCTCCTTTGTAATTTTCCCAAGTTCTATGCCACACAGGAAGTGGCTACTTCGTTAATAATTGCTTCTAGGCTAAGACCTGCTCTGGTTCCCATGCCTCTGCCCATGAATGGATCAAGCTATACATTTCTGGGATTTCTCATACCTTGTCTGGATATTTTGAGCATTTCTCAGGTTATCTCCGGCAGTAACCTCCGATGACCTTGTGGATCTACCTCAATATTTTTTTCCTCTAGTATACCCAATCTGACTTTTTGGAAGTTCTCTCTAAAGCCGACCTCTGATTCTGCCATTCTCTTGCTTGTAGACCACCATGGCTATCACCACTGCCTACAGAATAAAGTCCAGAACTATTAGCTTCTCCTTTTACATCCTTCATCTAGGTGGGGTGGCCAGATTTCATGAAAGAATATGATCTCTGGAAAAATCAAACCCCAGCTCCACCACTTACCAGCCACATGACTCCACATAAGCTAACTTCTGAGCCTTGATGTGCTAATGTGTAAAATAATATTAGTCTTGCAAGGATAACCTGTGTGAAGCTCCTGTTGTCCACCAGAATTAAAGTCACTCTGTAAGACTTTTTGTAGCAGGGTCTGCAAGGGATAGCAATGTATTATTTTATTGTTTGTGGCTACATAGATACTAGATAAATGAAAGATCCATTACCCATTTCCTCCCTGGACTTAGTTTTCTTATATATAGAGACTTTAAATGGTTATTTTGAAGCTTAATGTAGAAAGCTGTGTAAAGCACCTGGTTCCATACTTGGCACGTCATTAGGTATACGATAAATGTTCCTTCTTTTATCCCCCTTCCAAATTGAGGTCCAACTTCTCTTGCCTACAGAATTGTGCTAAAAAGTATAAACCAGAGTACCTTATATAAAAGAAGGGTTGTTGTTGTTATCTCTACTTTTTTAAGTTCTAGCTACCCTTTAAGGCCAAGTTCAAATGCTACCTATTCCATGAAGCATCCCTGGATTCTCACTGTATAACACTCATCCCCTACTCCAGCCAGAAAGATAATTATGCAATTAAAGAAGAATCTTCAAACAATCTCAGCTGATACTTGAATTTCTTCTATACCAATAAGTATAATTCTACGATATAACAAAGCTAAGCAGTGTTCCAGCTTCTTACTAAAACATTTCAGAGATGAAAAATTCAGTGTCTTTAAAATAGGTCTACTTCAGCTTTGGAGCTTAAATCAATCTGTCCCCCTAAATTTTCTTCATTTGTTTTGGGTATGTCTGTTTTCCTCTTTAAATATATTACCCAGAAATAAACAGTATTCCTTAAAAAACAATGGCCAAGAATAACCTTTTCCTTCTGTAACTATAACCTGTGCTAACAAGTTTTCAGCAGCCATGGAGCTATTTTCTCCTAATTGCACTGATGTTCATTTAAGACTCTGAAATCTTATTTTCAAATGCATGTTGGTGCTAAATGACATCTCCTCTGTCTTGAATTAATATGGCTGTTTTTGATAACTATGATTGGTTCTGCAAATATAGATCCACATTGAATGCCTCTGGGTGTGTTTGGTCTGCTTATTTGTTTTGAGCTAATCTTTCACTTGTGTGCCTTGATCCGTTTTTCTCATGAGTTCCTCTACGGAACTTTATTCTTCTATAAAACTAGCTCATTCCCCTTTGTGTTATAGTTTATATACTAGTCTTATGTTGCTATGTCATAGGTGGGTGCCCTGGAAGCAGAGCCTCTGTCTGGAGGATTGGGCAGCAAGCCTACTGCCTCCCAGTTATAATGGCTCCTTTGGGGCTAAGATCAGTTCTCCAGAGCAGTGGTGCAGCTGTGAGTTGTTCTCAGCCAACACACGACAGTTAAGATATAGGCACCTTGCTGATAAAAGGGATCTGATGGGACATCAACGGCATCCAGTACAGTCACCCATGGTTTTGTAATTTTGAGTATGGAAACGATGTGTTTTCCATTTCTGCACTCTCCATAAACCTGGCTCCATGTCTTGCACAGTGAAGGCACTAGTTTGTGGAATCGAATCATCAAAGATCTAGCGGCAATGCCCCCTCGTTTGCACCCATTCCAATCCACTGCCATTTGTAATAACAGATACCTGTAAAGGACTTAGCCAAGTCCTTCCCCAAGCAGCAGAATTCTCCCCCAAGTCCTCCTCTCCCCAGACTGAGTGATGGAAGGATATGAAAGTTGATATTGCATGTTCCAAGAATCTAGTCGCCCTGTCAATTTAGAAGCTGTCTAAGAACCAAATGCTTAAATTTAGAATATGCTAATAACTTCTTAAGACCAAGCAGATATATCAGAGAGCAGAATTTGTCTGTTCCACTCAACTCTTAAAGTATTTTTGTTTCTTTAAATTTCATAAAGTAATATATGCATATGGTAAATATGAAAATGGTTTAAAAAGGTAATAAATGAATAGTAAAGATCTATTTCTCCATTATCTTGACTTTTATTTCCACTCCCCAGAGCTAACTACTGTTAACATTTTCTTGCGTTTGTATCCAGAAATAGCCGTAGATATACAAGCATATATATTTACCATTTTATACACAAAAAGATTACACTATATGTTCTGCTCTCTACTTTTTTAAAATTAATGATAGACCTTACAGGTCTTTCTACATCAACACGTCTATATCTACTTTTTAAAATGATTATATTGATGTCTTACAATTTATTAAATCTGTCCTTTTTTTAGTGGACATTTCAGTTGTCCCTAGTTTTCAGCTCTTAGATATAATCTTTTTGCTATTACAGATTTTTATGATTACAAAATAAGTGTTCTATGTATTTCTTTTCATATAGTTCTTAGCCCTATTAAATCGAAAAGTCTGTCCTTATTTCTCAACAGAAAAATGACATGGATAATGAATGTGGCTACCAGATTCCCTACAACCAAACTGAATAATTGTGTCTTTTACCCTAAGTTATGCTTTCTCGTTCTCTGTCCGTTTCTTTCTCAGCCTCTTTCTCAAAATGCAACTTATAATCGGAAAAGATAGACGTTGTCCTGATTGATAAAAACAGGCAATAATTTTCAAGTTCAGGTCATCATAATAGCAAATTTTAAAATCTAGGTATATCATTTAAATAACAGGATAACTATTATGAGAGGAGCAAAAATTCTGAATCTTTTTCAGAATTTAAGAGCTTTGTTATTAAGAGCTTGTCTAATGTGAATTTCAAACAAAAAAATGCAATCAGATTTTCCAGATGTACTTAAAAGAGCTTATTGTTGTCGTTTTTGTTTTTTTCTTGCAGTGAAGTATATGCGAGAGGCCACACCCTACGTGAAGAAAGGTTCCCCAGTGTCCGAGATTGGGTGGGAAACGCCTCCCCCCGAATCCCCTCGGTTAGGGAGCAGCTCCTCAGACCCTCTGTCACCGTCGTCACAGTCTTTCTCCTTCCATAGAGACCGGAAGAGCATCCCCCTCAAAATGTGCTACGTCACACGGAGCATGGCCTTGGCCGACACCGAGAACAGGTAAAGAGGGCCGAAGAGCTTTGTATCTCAGCAGCACTTTGGCCGCAGTGGTTTGAAGGGGACTATTGCCAGGGCTGTGCCTTTGTCTTTAAAACACTCAGCGGTATCCAAAGAATAGCCTGTGTGGGTTCAAGCCAAGCCTCCCTCCCTCTCTTCTTCCATTTTTCTCCTTCCTTTCTTTTAACCTTGTGAAGAATCTGTACACTGAGCTCTGGTTCTGGCAAGAGATGAAGAATTGGAATCGTAATCCTAAGTGTCTTCCCTGGGTCTGCCATTACCAGTTTATGTGACTTTAATGTGCAAATTTCTCGAACCACTAAACCTCCATTTTGTCATCTATAAAATGGGAATAATTGAGATACATACCTCATTCTGTTATGGGGATTAGAGGAGGAACTCTGTGTGAAGTGCTTAGCATAGGAAAACCTTCCACGACTATAAGCTATACTAAGATTTCTTATTAATGTTAGCTAGCAGTAAGCAAATCAGTCCCTCTGGGCCTCAGTGCCCTCGACTCTGTATTTGGAAGGTTAGATGGGAGGATATTTAAAGCTATTTTCTCCCTCAAACTTCTTTTTGTGCTCCAGTCCAAGCCTGGGGTGCTTTTCCCAAAGTCAGGACATGACGTCGTGTGTCAGTATAGATATGTCACCCAGTCCACGAAGATTATAAGGAGTCCAGCCAAGATGAGCAAATATTTGAGGGGTGTCCCTCTTCCTCCCAGAAATCTTACTTTAACTTGTCTGAACAGAAAACACATTTCTTGGAGGAAAACTAGAGATAAGTAGAGAAGAGAGAAGGGAGCTGAGCCAGCAAATGAGGAATCTTGGTGACCTTTGCATCCATATTCGGATGCTAAAAATAGGAACAACTCCACTAGCTCGTATTTATAACATGTGTGGGGCAGCTGCAACCCACCCCAGTAGGAAGTATTTGGCTAGATTCAGGAGTTGCCGAGGGGGAAAGGCCAAAACGAATAAGGCCAGGACAAAATTTTCCTCCTTGGCTCACGGCTCAATGCTTTTTTTTGTTCTCTTCCCAATAAGCTCACCCTAAGGAAGCTGCTGGCCCTTCTGACTCCAGCCAGCTGCAGGATTTACCCCACTCCCCTCACCCCTCCCATGTCAGTTACAGCTTCCTGGGGATCAGAGATCGGCAGCTTCTATGAGAGAGCCAGGGGGTATCAGCAAAAGATGAGTCAGAGTGGGCCAACAGGGAAGGAGGCAGAATTCTTAGATAATCCACTCCCATCTGTTCTCTCCCCTCCCCCCCCCACCTCCATTTCTGCTGCTTTTCTGGGCCTACAGTTGATGTCTTGATTACTCTGAATTTCCTCTCCCTTGGCCTCTTACCCACCCAAGCAAATATGTCCTTCCTCCTAAGTCTGATGTCTGAGGTTTCAGACTTGATGAATTCGTCATTTATCAAGTGACGGCCTTGTGCTGGGCATTATGCTAATTAACTCAGACCAGAGACTGCAAAGTGGCAGCATACAGTTGTACCCAGTTCACAGATATGTTTTTTAAATGGTCTAGCTAGTGTTTTAAAGAAATTTGAATTCATGGCCACATTGAATAGTGGGGAAATTTTACATTAAAGATCTGGGTTTCTGCTTTTCTTGAAAAAATTAGAAGATCTGGTGATATCAGGCCCACGTTGCTACAGGTAGGGCTCCGGAGTCCAGTAAAGGCTTCTCCTGTGACAAGGAAATGAACTTTCGCCATCACTCCTATTGCCTTACACTTAGGGGATTTAATTAATTACCCACCTGGTCCTTCACACTTTCTGCCTAGTCCTTGAATCTATAACCCTGATTAATCCTTTTAACAGCCCTCTGAGTTTCTGTCATTGTCCCCAATCTATAGAGAAAAAACTGAGGCTCCGTGCTTATATAAATTTCAAATATCATGTAGGTAAAGTACGATATCTCTGAATTTCAAACTCATGCTTGTAGAGTGGGTGACAGTATCAGTTTACCATTACCAGAAAAATATAGAGACTAGAAAACCTGAGATACTGTAGAAATGATTAATGCCCTGGTGGAGAGTTTAAGTAATGATTCCAGCGGTGGGCTTACCTGTTATAACATTTCTCCCAAGGCATTTAATTACATTTTAAAGAATATTTTGGGAGTCATCAGGTCTTAGTTCAAATACTGGAAACTATTCTGTCAAGCTACTAGAGGAAATGCATTTTTAAACTTTTTATCAGTGCTCTTCAAGTCCACTAGTGATGAGTGTGTTTAGGGCCTCCCAGGTGGCAAGGGACAGCCTGTCCTGCTGGGGTATGTGAACCAGCTCTGCAGGACTGAAATGATACTCCTGCTAAGCCAGAACGTCCAGGAGGGGACCTCAGTCCATACAGATCCCGAACTGCTGATAATAATATTAACCTTTCCTGATGTATACACACATCAAATCACTACAATGTACACTTTAAATATCTTACAGTTTTGTCAATATACCTAATAAAACTTAAAAAAAAAAAAAAAAGATTAGGGCCTTAGGTGGGTCTTGATCCTAGTTGAGGAAGAGATGAAGAGAAGAAGAAAAAGATTTTCTGGAACTGCAGTGACATGCTGGGCATAGGGTAATGTACCAGTCACAATGTGGGCTCTGTGCTGAATACGAGGCGCCCCTAACACAGAGTGCTTTTAGATGACGAAAAATATAGGAATAGGCAAAGCGTGCAAGGCAAACGCAAATTAACAGCAACAACAAAAAGCATCTCTTTTGATCCTGATATATGACAGGGTAAAATACAGACTGAAAAAGCACAAAATAAGACAAGGAAGGGCTGATTTATGCGAAAAGCCAGAGTTCACAAGGAACATTCAACAGTTGTGAATGCGCATCAGATAACATAGCAGCGACACTTAGAGCAGAACCTGCAGGAGATGCAAGAAGAAATAGAAACATACTAATATTAGGTAATTTAACATACTACTGGCGGTCCAAGGACAGGGCAAGTGGACAAAAAGTAAATAAAGATATAAAAGACTCACATAAACAACATAAATAATAAGGGAGATCTTGATACATCACAAACTTAGTTCCCCGGTAATAGAGAATACACTTTCTTTTCAAGTCCACATAGAACACTCACAAAATTAACCATAGATTAGGTCACAAAAAAATACAATAAATTCCATAAGGTAGAAATAATACAAAAGCAATCCTCTGATGATAGTGGAGTAAAACTAGGAAGTCCATAATAAAACCCAAGCATAGAAACTGAAATTGTAGCATTTCTAAACAATAATATAATAATGAAAATAATGTACATATTAAATACGAAAGAGAAAGAAGGAAAAAGAGAGAGCACCGACTCTGGAGTCAGCTGGACCCACAATGGAATCTTAGTTTCGCCATCGATGTATAAGTTAGAGCAAGTATCTCATTTAATCCAAATACCTAGGAGTAGGTACTCTGATCTCTATTTTATAAACTTAGTTCAGAGAAGAGAATTGAAGCAAACCATAGATCTGGGATTCAAGCCCAGGCCTAACTGACACCAGGCCAAATTTCTTTTCTTTTTTTTTTAGGCGAAGCAACCCTTGGTTGACCTTGTCAGCTTACAAGCCTTCATTTTTTTTTTTTTTTTTTTTTTATTTCTTACGCTTACAGCAATTGGTCTTCCTAGGTGGTCTCCCATCCAAGTACCAACCAGGCTTGACCCTGCTTTGCTTTCGAGATCAGACGGCATAGGGCTTGTTCGCCAAGCCCAATTTCTTAATCATGACACCCGATTGCCTCATATTCTAGCACCTGGCAGAACAGCTCACCCGAACTGTGAGCACCATGGCCAGGAGTTAATGGTCTCCTAGATACTAAGACCTGAGAACCGATGACAAATGTCACAGCATCTTGGGGCTAATCCCCTCAGTTGGTGACACACAGCTACTTACAGTTTGCATTAAAAACTCTATAATGTTCAATTTCTCAAATAGAAACAGCCATAGAACAGCAGGCAGGATTGCTGCTCTTTCTGTGAAAAAGGTCACCCAGCAGGCATTGAATCCACAACAGTATGTCACTGCTAGTGGTTTTCAATGATTACAACATTTTTAAAATTCTACCTCTTAAATATCTCTTGTTTTTCATATTCGTCTCTTCCTCTTCACAGCCACTGCCCTTGTCCAAGCCACATCGTCAGTCCTCCAGACTCTCTGGACGTATTTCCTACCAGGTGCTTTATTTCTTTCTAGTTTGCTCCTTCCCCACTCCCTTACCATATACCCTATATCCAGCTAGCCAAGGGAGCATAAAACACTCAAAACTTAGCCATTTGGTCAAAATGACTCCCTGTCACCTTCACTAATATCAAAACTCATCAGTACTGCATAAAAACCAGTAAGATTTTGGATCTTTCCTTAACTCTCCGGCTCCTCTGTGCCTCCTCCTCAAGGCTCCAGCAACCCTTAATCAATTTGTGCACGACCCTCACTTGCCTTCCTGACAACTTCATTGTCACCCTTTAAGCCTCAGCACAGGTGTAGCACAGGTCTCACTATATCTTGTGCACAGATTCGTCCATGATAGCACCCTTTACAACGACTTGCAATTTTTTTCCTTATGTGACTACTCAGTTCTTAAAATCATAAGACCCTCAAGGTCTAGGGCATCCCATGTTTTCATTTTAATATCCAGCTTTCTAGAACATTACTTGATACAAAGCAGACATTCAAAAATATATGATACGTTAATAAATGAAAAGTAACATATTGATCTGTTCACTTTCGGTATTCTTACCTTTTCAAAAACTTGTCTTAAGAAATCTGTCACTAAGTAATCTTGGGAATAAGATAATAAATAAAAACACAGTTCTGTCTTGCCAGGATGAGCAAACTTAAACCAGGCCTAATAACCAAGCTTATGAATGGGGGAAAGTAGATGGACCAATATAGGTGATGTATGAAACTTTCAACATGACTATGCATGGTTAAATTATGGAGTTATGTACACAATCTTTCGTGAAAAATAGTGCACATCTCTATGGTG